GTAGTTCTTTGTTTTTTGTTTTCCGTGACTCGATTAAAGTGAAGGACCTGCAAGAGATATGAAGAGGGGGCAGAAAACTTTATTCAGAAGATCTGTTTAAATCAGTCCTCACTCAATAATGGAAATTTTACTTAGCCTGTGCAACACCCATTAGGCCCTGTGCCCCCCCAAGGTAACTGGATCTGGTGCCATCCACATGCTCACTGACACAGCAATGGATAGCAATGTTCAAACAGGTCAAGGTAACAAAGGTGTCATGTACCTTTTCAATTTGTAGTGCAGTGTTTTCTCTGCACCCTAATAGAAGCATCCCAAATGCTGATGTGATGCTGAAAGGGGAAAATGAAGATGGTTGTCCTTCTTGATTTTCCAAACGTCGGAACATATCTACGAACAAAACTGGGTGTTTGCTCCTCACTGAGTGACGTCATGGTGGACCTGGTGTGATCCAGACTCCTGGAGAAAGGTCATCAGATTCATCTTTTAATACTTTACTGAATGTTACGCAATCACTTTAATAAAATTTTCTTACACCAAAGTGACATGTCGGGTATTAGGATCCCGATAAAAGTTTCCTTTCCCTTTTTACTTTCCAACCTTCTACAAGGTAGCATAATTAATGTCAAAATACAAGACTACAAAATTACTATTCAAACTTTGTGAACAGGAAAGTAAACATCTTGTCTGCCTTCTTCATTGCGGCCGTGTACTAGGTCCTAGGGCAGAAAGGCTTTATAAACGCTCAGATGAAGACTTCTGTGCCCCAATCCAGGGCACCTCAAGAGGTCACCTCTGACTTTTTCTCAAACTTCTGTGTCTGCAAGGCACCCTTTCCCCTATCCCTGTGCTTTCACGGGCATTGGTTTCACAGTTAGAAATAATAATTGAAAGGATAATCTATGAAGGAGTAATTAGCCACTTCAGAATAAGCGAAATTAGGTACTAATATAAACACATTTATTATCTAAGATTATTTTTATGTTGGAGATACTGGCGCACTCACCGCCTGGTGTTCTGAGCTGAAATAGGAAGCTATGAGAGTCTGAGTGTTCTGTATGGCAGAGACCTGAATAATATGCCAATATCTTCTGCCACGAACCCCCATATAACAGTTGGTGTTTCCAGAACTACTTTAGAAATTATCACACCAGTGATAACACTACATTTTATGAACTGAAAATTAACGACATTTGTTCTAGGGCAAGTGTAAATCTTTTATATGTGGAAAAAATCCAATTATTGGCCTCGTGGCGTGTTGAACATGTTGGAGTGCCTTTTAAACCAATGGAATACCTTTTTAAATTTCCACTTTTTCTCCTTCCTTTCAGCTCCATCCCTTTGTACAGCTTCCCCAGATGAAAAACAATTCTTTCTGTTCTGAATGTGTAACTGTTTTAAGGCACACTTGCAAACCAAACAGCTAAAGAGCTAACATTGACTATTTTCAGTTCTAAAAGTTTTGTTCATCCTAACAATTTCCCTAGTAATGTTTGTTAAACCAGGAAATAGTTTCTAATCGCTATGTCCGAAGAGATATTGAGTAGATGTGTCATCAAACTGTGGAGAACAGGGTTCTATTGCTTTCCTAATTCTCTGTTGGCGGGATCCTCTTAGTACCTCTCTATGCCCCTGCACCATTCAGTGTTTTCCTTAAGCTTAATGGTCGTCAGATGGTTTATTTACCTCCGCGAGTTACACATACTACATTGAGAAAACAGTGGAAAGAACCATAACAGAATCCATTTGAATGCAGCTTTCCTAAAATTTTCTATAAAAATGAAACAGAAAAATAAATTGTTTCAGCTGTGAGGATCACAGCATTTCTCTACCGACCTCACCATTTATCACCCTGGGCTAGCCTTGCAGCACGAATGAAATGGCCTGGTTATGTAAGACATAACAAGAAAGGGGAAAGTGTTCTTTGAATTCTGTCAGTAAGTCCATTTTTACTGGATTCTTATTCTCTGCATATGCATGGTGTTTCTGTATGTAGAACAATGTTAATGACTGTTGACCTTTACTGAGCTGGA